GCTTGTTAGATACTTAATGTTTTGACTTTTAGTGAAGTCTGTGAATATTTTGTGTAATATTTAAAAATGTCTTCATTCTGGGATTATAAAATATTTTCCTGTAGTTTTTTTTTTTTATTTTAATTTCAATTTTTGGTACCAGGAATTGAATTCAGGGGCATTTAACCATTGAGCCACATCCCTAGCCCTTTTTATTTTTTGTGATAGGGCCTCACTAAGTTGCTGAAGCTGGCTTTGAACTTGCAATCTTCCTGCCTCAGCCTCATGAGTTGATGGATTACAGGTGTGTACCACCATACCTGGCTTATTTCCTATATTTTATTTAAAAACTTTTAAAAAATTTATTTTTCAAATGATACACAAAAACATAAAAAGTATACATGTTAATGGGATACCATGTAATGTTTTGATGCATGTATTGGTTGTATTTTTCTATATTCTAATCCTTTATGTTTAAATCTTTTATTCACTAAAATTTATTAGGATACCAGGGATTGAACTCGGGGGGCACTTGACCACTGAGCCACATTCCCAGCCCTATTTTGTATTTTATTTAGGGACAGGGTCTCACTGAGTTGCTTAGCACCTCAATTTTGCTGAGGCTGGCTTTGAGCTTGTGATCTTCTGGCCTTATCCTCCTGAGCCGCCTGGATTACAGGCATGCACCACTTCCCCCAGCTGAAACTTACTTTTATGTACATGTAATATAAGTTTCTATATTCTTTAGGTATGATAAACTTCTCCAGTGTTAGGATTTTTTCTATATAAGCACTTGAGGTTCTAGAATGCTACCTTTGTCAAGTAGAATAGTAAGACTGTGCTGGCCTTGAAAACTGAATGGGGAGACGTTTTATGGAAACAGATAAAGGGAAATATGCTTGGAACCAAGTGATGTGATATAAATCTCTTATGCCTCTCCTCTGCTTAAAATCCTTCATTGATATTCCCATGCCCTCTTGATGACCCAGGGTTTCCTAGCTGGGTTTTAAGGTCCTTTCTTTTCTGGTCCCTTTTTCTTTGCTGCCTCATGTATCTGTGCCCTGCCTTGTCTTGTGTTTCCCACTGTGTTGTGTTTTTTTTTTTTTTCCATTCAGCCAAACCTCCAGCACCTAGAACCATACAGAGCACATAGTAAATATTGTTGCAGAAACAATTGTAATTTCTGGAACCCCCCCCCCCCCCCACCACACACACACACTTTCATCTGAGCTCTTTGGTACCTTCTCCTTTCACGCTCTTTGCTCAGATGTACCCATGTGTCCTTTAGGATTGAACTTAGATGTCACTTAACTCTGGGACATCTTCTCGAGCCTGGGTTAGATACCACTCTGTGGTACTTATCATGTTGTAATAGGTTACTTACTTGTGTAGCAGGAAGCTGAGAGGGACTGCCTGTCTGGAACTACACAGAGGGTCCACCGTGGCTTAAGGTACTGCCACATCTCATTAAGTCTCCTTATATGAGGAGAGCTGTCAACAGTTGGGCCTGATAACCACCACAGTGCTTACAGAGCAATGACTAGCTTGGAAATGCTGCCACTAAGCACTGTTTTAAGTTAAAAAAAAAAAAAAAAAGGATTGGGCTGTGGCTCAGTGATTGGTTGGCTTTATTTGTGATTCATGAACCAGGCATATCCCATCTACAAGGGTAGAAGTGGTTCATGTTTAGAATGATTGTCTGTGCTGTGGCTTTTCTCCTACTTTCACAGGGTTGCTGTCCTCCCTCCCTCAGTCAAGTGAAGATGCAACCCCTTAGAATAAAATTCTAAGTTCTTCCTGAGATGCTATAGAATAAGGGCATTGTAACATAGAACCATCATGGAGAGGTGCTGGAAAAAAATAAAACCATTGAATCTTTGCTCACTACGTGGTCCACACTATTCAATAAGCTGGTTATAGTTCTCACACTTGCTTTTAATCTTACTTTGAATTATAAACTCCTGGAGGGCAAGACTTTGTAGTCTGAGCATCTAGTATATAGTAGGTATTCAATAAGCATTTGTTGAAGGAATAGATAAACAGATGAACATATGAATGAACACAACAATATACTAAAGGAATTAATTACACATAAAGAATTGTTTTAGATAATCTACTAAATCATATGTGTTATATATACATACACATACATACACACACATATACATACTGTTGAGAAATTGATATGTGCTCACCTAGGAGAGAGAAGCCATGCAGCAGTGTGACCAGGGAAAATTTACTATAAAGAATAATTAGGGGCTGTGGGTATAGCTCAGTGGTCAAGTGCATGTTTAGGATTTCTGGGGCCCTGGGTTTAATCACCAGCGACAATAACAAACAACAAATTACTAACTATTGCAGAGGATTATGTAACGAAGAATTGGCGAATAAGGAGATCTCTAAGTAATATAGAAATGGCAGTATAAGGAATGGCCATGGCCCCTATGGCTGAAATCATACCCTTTCCCCACTTCCAGAGCTGAGCTTCCAGCATTGCTGGAGAGCATGTGGCCGTGGCCCTGTCAATGGTAAGAGGCTGCCTTGGGGCCTCATTGGTGGAATTTGCTGGAAATATGTTGCTGGGAAGGTGTCTCACTGCAGACACCTACAAAACCACCTAGGCTGGCTGCTGATGCTGCAGCTTGTTATGCTATAGGAACTGCGTGCTGGGGGCCTGTTTGTGCTGCAGGAGGTGGTTCTGGGAATGCTGCTCCTACTGCAGAATTAAGCAGAAGCTAGATGCTGGAGCCTTCCAGATGAGCATACCAGAAACGGGACACTGTTCACTTGAGTTTGAAAAGTCTAATTGGCTTTATTTGTAATTCATGGACTGGGAAGCATCCCATCTGCAAACTCTCAAGGCTCTGCTGAACTGAACAGAGAGAGAGGGCTTTATAGGCAGAAAAGGCTGAAGAAAGTAGAGGCAAGGAAGAAGCAATTTGGTTCTTTCAAAGTTCCTTTCCTGATAAGGATGTCTCCTCTGTTTCAATCTTATCATGCTGGTTCAGGTTGACTGGGTCCCATTTGATTGACTGCTGTGAATCTCTTTTGTTTTAAAGAAAAATAGGACTGTTTTTAAGTTCTGTGTAATTATGTGGCCACTTAACACAAGCCAACTCCATTTCAGTTTGATCTAGTCTTTGGGGCCTATCATAGAAGTTTTGTCCTAAACACTGACTTTCCATACATTTGATTTAACAAAATCCTTTTCTCCTGAAATCTTTCCAGCACCATCTACTGATAAAATCTAACATCCCACAGGGGAAGCAAAATTATTCAGTAAGCCAACCATTACATGATGGAATCCCCTGAAAGAAAAATATTCAAAGGGCCCAGATTTATTTTCACAAAGCAGGCAGTGAAGAGTGAATTGGAATCTAAGAGGCAATAAATTGATTAAAAACTTAAAAAAACCCAAAAAATATACATTTGTATACATAATATGTGTATATATATTCTACAGATATATTTTAAGTTTCAGGCTACCAGCCATCTTTTCTTAAGAGATACTTACCATCTTCCTGTGAAAAGAAAACCAAGATAGTTCACTGAGCTCTTCTGAAGCATTTCCATATATACTGTCTCACTTGATCCTCAAAACAACCCTGTGGCTGGGTGTGGTGGTAAATGACTGTAATCCCAGCAGCTAGGGAAGTTGAGGAAGGAGGATCGCGCATATTCAAAATCAGGCTCAGCAGCAGCGAGGCACTAAGCAACTTAGATCCTGTCTCTAAGTAAAATACAAAATAGGGCTGGGATATGTCTCAGAGGTTGAGTGCCCCCTGAGTTCAATCCCTGGTACTCAAACAAAACAAAAAAACAAACCACCACCACCGACAAAAGACGGCCCTGTGCATCTGGGTATGGTGGTGCATACCTGTAATCCTAGCAACTTGGGAGGCTGAGGCAGGAGGATTGCAATTTTGAGGCCAGCTTCGGCAATTTAACAAGGCTCTCAGCAACTTAATGAAACTGTCTCAAAAAGAATTGGGGATGTGACTGAGCAATTAATTAAGCACCCCTTGATTCAATTCCCAGTACCAAACCAAAACCAAAACCAAAACCAAAAAACAAACAAAACCCAGGAATGTGCATTCGGGCAACATGTATACAAAACCCCCAGCCCTGTGCAAGAGGTAGGAAGACGGTGATTCATTTTCCATTCTTCTGCCCATCCATCCAGTAAATACTGATTGAGCTCCATGGATGTGCCAATCCCTATGCTCTATGTGGGGATTATAGAAGAAAAGGGCCCTTCAGGAATGTGAAGGTCTAAGGGGAAACTAGGCAGGTAAATATGACACATTAAGTGGTGAGATATATTCTAGAAACTTATAGAACAAAGAGGGTTTTTTTTCAACTCTAAAGGAACATTTGTATTTTGGGGCTGATATCTCAGATATTTCATGGGTGTTCTTACACCCCCTTCCAGTAAACTTTCATTGGCATTCAGGGAGTCTGACTTAAGCAAAGTTGAGTTTTGAGGAAATTTGACTTTAAAGTCTGTAGGTTAGCTTAAAAAAAAAAGTGGGAGACCTGGCCTCCTGAACCTCAGATACCCTGTGAACTGGGCATTGTGATCCCCATTTCATAGTTAGAAAACCTGAGGCTCCGGAGAGGATGCATTTGCTTGTGACACACAGGTAGGATTAAGTGACAAGGCCTGGATTTGTGGGGCTTTGAAGACGTTCTATGATGCCACAGTGTGTCTAGCATTGCAAAGCTTTTTGGCTTTTTATTCCCTTTTATTTTTTTTATTTTTTATTTTTTATGTGGAAACAGATATTTATTACAGAACATTTTAAAAAATTAAATGCCTTAAACAAAAAACAATACCATAAAGTGATAGACCTGGTAGCATGCAAATACTTCAGGTTGGAGAGGCATGTTTGCTCTTGATGAATGTACATATAATAAATTCCTATGACATTTGACTCCAAAATGAATGTATGAATTGGCTGGACATGATTATATGACTAATAATTTAAAGTAAAATATAATCTTAAAGGCAATTTAAACACTGGCATTAATCTATAGGAGTCCATTCAAGGTCAGCCACTGGAGAGCTATATAAAAAGAACTGAGGTAAAATCTTCAGGAAGCAATGCTGTGCCTATGAACATCTGTAAGATTCAGGCTCAACTTCCGCTTCTGATGAACCTGATTCGGAAAAGGATGTATAACATCCATTACACATCTGTTTCAAACACAGTCTATTTCTAAAATTACACATCTCTTTACAAATAAATATCAAGTATTAATAGCTGAAAGATGCCACTGGGATGGGCTCCAAAGTCTGCTGTTCTCATGGCCACCCCGAGACATATTTTAAGGCATCATTTTTAATCTTGGGGCTTTAAGAACATCTTCTTTGCTTTAACTGGTTTTATGTCTCCATTTTCATCTTCTTCGTAATTGGCACGGTCTCTTTTCTTGGCAAACTTTTTTCCAATTGTCCCCACCAAGGTCTCATATCTTCTAGCCATTTCCTCATCTGACACATCAAGCTCTACTATCTCATCTTCATCTTCATCTTCTGCTTTGTTCTTAGCATTCATCTGAAGCATCAATTTCTCAACTTCAGGATTAAATCCTCTGAATGACATTCTTCCATACAGAAGATCTTCACATAACAAGAAGCTCTGCTCCTCTATTATGACACTCTCTTTCTCTTTAAGCTCTGGCAAATCCAAGTACCAGTGCTCCTCACTGATGATCTTCTTTTCTTCTTCCTCTAGTTGTTTCTTGGTTTCCGAGTCCAGTCCCCTTTGCATGAACTTCATGCGCAGCAGGTTCTTGGACAACTTGGTCTTGCGCTCGGCCGCCATGCTGGCTCCAGCCGCCAGCCTTTTATTCCCTTTTAAAAGAGGGAAACTTTAAACTTAATTTACACGAATAAGTGACTTAGGTTTTCCTGTTGGTTGTATTTATTTTAGAACCGTGGATTGAACCCAGGAGTGCTTAATCGTTGAGTCATATCCCCAGCCCTTTTCATTTTTTGAAAGTTACTTAAGGCCTGCTGAGTTGCTGAGGTTGGCCTTGAACTTGCAATCCTTCTGCCTCAGTCTCTCTTTGAGCCATTGGGATTCCAGGCATGCACCATCATGTTACTTTATTGGTTTTTCCGATGTTCCTTTTCCTTTTAAACCACTTACCCAGGGGTCTGATTGACATACAAAATACTTGTATGTACTTAAATATATACAACATCCAGTGTATACCATGTTTAAAAATTGCCTGTGCTGGGGCTGAGGTCATAGCTCAGTGGTAGAGCACTCTCCTCATGCATGTGTGAGGCCCTTGGTTTGATTCTCAGCACCACATAACAATGAAAATACATAAAATAAAGGCATTGTGTCCATCCTCAAACAAAAATATTTTTTTAAAAAAATTGTCTGTACTTGTCTTCTCATCCGTCCACACCAAAGAGGTGAGGAGGAGTTTTTATTCAGCTTTGCATCGAGGTGACCAAAAGATCTGACAAGAGCAATTTAGAGGAGGAAAAGTTTATTTTGGCTCATGATTTTTTAAAATATTTTTAAATTATAGTTGGACACAATACCTTTGTTTTATTTTATTTTTATATGGTGCTGAGGGTCAAACCCAGGGCCTTGCAAGTGCTAGGCGAGCGCTCTACCGCTGAGCCACAACCCCAGCCCCTTGGCTCAGGCTTTGAGGTTTAGTCCATGGTTGCCTGACTTCTGAGGTGAGGCAGAATGGCATAGCAGAGGAAGATAGCTCAGGACCTGATAACCAGGAAGCAGAGAGAGACCAGGACCACTTGCTCTCCAGGGACCAAATATAAACCTTGAAGTCATGCTCCCAGTAACCCACATCCTCCAGACATACCCTGCCTGTCTATAGTTATCACTCAGCTAATCTATTCAAGCAAATTAATGAATAGATATGGTTACCTCTCTCATAATCTAATCATCTCACCCCTGGAAGTTCTTGCATTGTATCACGTATGAGCTTTTGGGGGACCCGTCATATCCAAACTATAATAAGAATTATCCCGTTTTCTGGATTTGACTCAGTCCAACTGTGGTGCTTCTTTGTTGGGCTGGAAAATCTAATGGGATGGCTGCTGAATACCCTTTGGCCTTGATATCTAGAGTTCTCCTTACAGCAGAATCTACAAAGGTCTGAACTTACCTTGAAATAGAATGTGTGTAGAAATGTGTGAATCATGGCGATATCTCCAATGAATATAAACGGGAATGGGGCATTAGTTAGTCTTTGCTGGATTATGAGAACAAGGGAAAAATGGGAGAAGAGAATGAACATGGTCTTATCCACTGAAATGAAGAAAGTGATCTTGCCGAACCAGGCTTTAGCCTTGGTGTCAAGTGATACAGCGTGCATTCCTTTTTGAAGATATTTTGGTAAGGAGAGAAAGGGACCTCCCTCTTGCCTACTCTTGGCTGAACATGAAGTATGCAGAATGGAATTTCATCTCATCAGCCCTGCTTTCTAAGCTTTCGCACCATCAGCAATGTTGGCTTCTTCTGGGGCCTCATTTTAATCTTCATGGATTTCTGAAATCCTGAAATTTTGCCCAGACGGAGACAAGCAGCTCCACCCTCTCAAATGTTAGTTTATTTCTTATTTTGGGTTGACTATTTCCAAACACACACTGCTTTCTATACCGCCTCTCCTCGTACAAGAGCTTATAATTCTCCTCTAGAGGGTTTTACATGAAAATGTCAAGAGTTTAGGAAAAAAAATATTTTGAGTGGTGAGATGAGAATGGGTGATATCCAAGTCCTTTGGAGAATTTGTTAAAATGTAGCTGTTCTGAAACAGTGTGGAAAAGTGGCTAAAGGGTGGGGGACTGTTGTCAAGCAGACCAGAGTTTGAATTTTCTGTCTTGTTAATTGCTTTTTATGAATCTTTACTAAGTTACTGATCCTCCTTGAGACTCAGTCTTATTGTCCAAAAAATTGGATGTACCTGGGAATGTCATGGGAATCATTCTGACATGAGGCAGGAGTTATTTTACACGTTAAGTGGCTTTGAGCATCTCTTTTGAGCATCTCTTTTAATCTTTCCATGGATTCCTCATGGAAAGCATCCTTGGCTAGCTTCTATTTGCCCTCTAAGTCTACTGTCCCTCCTTCCTGCTCTGCTCTGGGAGGCTGATCTCTAGGGACTTCATGTATTCAGGCTTCTGTGGGGCTCAGCCAATGGGAAGCATCAGAAGGATTTGCAGGGTGAAGAGGAGGGAGTTCAGTTTTTCTTCTCTCCCCCCCCCCCACCCCCAGCTTGCTCTATAGATTCTGATAACTACTCTTCCTTTTCCTTTTTCATAAGGGCAATTTTTTTCCTCCTCTGGCAAAGTAGCTAAACCAGGCAACTTTACATTTCTTAGTTTTCCCTTAAGCCTACCTGTGTCTGTAAATGGCAGCTTTAATGAACTTACCTAAGGACCCTATTTGGGGTGCTTTTAATTTTCCCTGATAAAAGGCTGTCTCCTTGTGGTCCATTCAGGACCCCCAGAAATACTGTCTCATTTCAGACACCTGTCCCGATTTCTACTGTTGCTGAGTGAGCCCACCTGGGTTCTTGCTGCTATCAGGTACAGCAGTTTGATTGCCTGGGCCTCACTTCTCGTTTGCTCCTAACCGTCTGGGACAAATTGTCGTCCAGTCCTCTGGTTTCTGCTGATCTAGGGCCTGGTGTGATCCTAGCCCTTCCTGGGGGCAGCCCTCTCCAGCAGGCTGTGAGCCTGGGAGGAGGAACACAACAACTGCTGTTCAGGGCAAGGCCAACAGTAAACATCCCACCTGCCATAGTCATCGACCTTGCAGGTCAGTGCATCTCCGTGACAGTTAGTGATCCTGTCTAGTTACTCAGTGCACAGAGTTCTGTCTCTACCACTCTCCCCCCCACCCCCATCTTCCTCCTGCTGCTTCACTCCCCTCTCTCTCTTATACAGCTGTTTCTCTGATGCATGCCTGCAGGGCCAGGGTGACTGTATGACGAATGACATTTCCAATTCTGGACACATGCTTTGCGTGGAACCATCCCACTACCTACCAGGAATTCTTTTCATGTTTCCACGGAGTCCATGGATAGAACTGTGATCCAACATAGCTGGTTTCCTTTGTACACATTCATTTTATTATATGCATTTAAAGCATAGTTCTGAGAAGGCATCTGAAGATTTCACACACAGCCGAAGGGGCTCAGGGAATAAAAAAAGATGAAAAATCTCGAACCTGCCAGGCTGCATCTCTCCCTGATGAGCAACACATCTCTCTGGGGTTTGTGACATGGGCATATTAATAGCCAACTCTGTAGGGGGATTTGCTGAGGTGATAAATGAAAGCACTTGATTTCCCCATGCTTAACATAACCAGTGCTGTGATCTTACCCTAGTGTCATATCCAAACCATAAATACTTCAGGCTTGCCATTTGATATCAAATCGGTTATCTCCTTAAATATCAGAAATGGGAAAACAATCCTTCCCCTTTGTAATTTTTCCAACCTTTTTGAGTACCATGCTTCTATATTCCTATCTCTAGTGAGATAGTTAGGTTATCTCTCCTCTTCCTTTCCAGATTCCCTGTGTATAATACAATTCTAGCCTCCATTTCTCAAGTGTGTATCTTCTAGAAACCAAATAGACACCTGCCTTTGGTAAAGGGTGTCCAGTTAATCTTGCTGTCACCCATTGATGCCTGTTTTGTGCCATGTACAGTGCTTGGGAGATGATCCCCTTGAAGCGGGTTTCATTATTGCACTATTTCATGCATTTGAATTAAGTTGCCATAGACTGCACTAAATTTCTGGTTTGTTCCTTGAAGCCAGAATGATATTCTAAAAAGTTGATGAAATACCATCATAAGAAAATCAGGATAGGAGAGAGGTTGATTACTTAATAAAAGAAGAAGATGCAGGAGAAGGGGAGAAATCTACTTCAACCTGAGTTGGACAAGACATCAAAAAAGCACATTTTGAACTTGGAGGCAGTTCATTTTTGTCTGGTTAGAATTTTTATGTTGTTTTTATAGTGATCCTTTTTGTTTTATTTCTTAGAAGTTAAAGGGTGGATTGAATGATGTATTGTAAGTCAAAGAAAAAGGAAACTGAGTGTTGTTTGGACAGTTGATACTTCAGCTGACTTTTGTTGTTTTAAACTTTGTTTGAAGCACATTTTTACAATTGAATAAGATACCTGCAGGGGTTGATGGAAAATATTTTCGAAGTATTTTATTCTCGGAGTGAAGCCTATTTATTGGTAGAGGGATAGCATTAATGTTCTTTATTGCAAGTCTTGGTTTGGACCCAGGACCTCAACACTGGCCTCAGGAGAATCCATAAAGTTCGAATCTCCAATAATGTTTATGCTGTATTGGGTTTAATAAAAATTTTTTTTGGTACCAGGATTTGAATCTAGGGATGTTTAACTACTGAGTCACATCTCCAGCCCTTTTAATTTTTTTGTTTTGAAACAGGGCTTCACTAAGTTGCTTAGGTCCTCAATAAGTTGCTGACATTGGCTTTGAACTTATGATCCTTCTGTTTTGTCCTCCCAAGCTGCTGGGATTATATAGTGTTCCACTATGCCTGGCCGGGTGTCATAAACTTCTAACAACTGGGCAGCATCCAGAGATAAGGAAATACCTGTTGGGTCTTTGGAAATCTCCCCAGGAATCCTGTGCAGCACTGTACTTTACCAGAGTATTTCCATCCTGTGATAACATTTTTTTGGTGCCTTACTTTGAACTCCAAAATATAGTGGCACAGGTGACCTTGGAATTAACAAACTTGGTGGGGGGGGTGTCAAGTGCTTTTTCTGCTGCTTATTAGCTCTGTGATCCTAGCAGGTATATGTA